CTCGCGCTCTACCCGGCCTTCACGCCCGTTGGTTCCTTTGCGCCCTGCCAGCCTTCTTCGCGCCATGCTGGCTCGTCATGCTCTGCTGACCCCGTGCATCCTCACTCGGTCTTCCCGCCGGGGAGTTCTGCCGCCGCGCCGCTGTGCCGCTGTGTACCTGTGTTGCAGTGCTGCCATGCCGCTGAGAAGTTGTGCTGCTGTGCCGATGTGTCGCTGTGCCGCCGTGCCACCGTGGAGCTGTGTCGCTAAGGTCGCACGATGGAGGACAATGTACTCCGCCTGGACGCGGAGGGGCATGCGATCCACTTCGCCACATGGCTTGTCGATCTCCGCCATCTCCTCACAGGTCAGCGCCAGGATGGGCACTCCTTGGCTGTGCATGTTGATGGCTTGCTTTCCCGCACCCCCGTGCTTGATCCCCTCTCTGCTGACCCCACCACTACTCAGTGTGAGGCCTTTTCTGCTGATGCACTTGCTCGCGCTGTCTGGGATTCTCACGATGCCGTAGCGCAGCTAGCCATTAGTCATGCTCTTCCCTTGTCTGAGCGTCCGTGCTTCACTGCTGTCACGAATACCCTGGATTTCTTAGTAGCAGTCGTTTCGCGCTACTCCACGCCCGCCTCCGCCCCTGCTGGCCGACTAATCCTCCCAATGCTGTTTCCTGATCTTACCGCTTTCCCCACTGTAGCTGACCTAGCCACTCACCTCCGTGCACTAGAGGCTAGCTACTGCGCCGCTAGCACTGACGCCCAGCTCACTGCCTTCCCCACGCCATTCTGTGCTACCCTGTGCCTCATTGCCATGCGCCTTCCAGACCACTTAGCCACTGCCCGCCGCACTTGGTGCTGCTGCGACTAGGACGGCTGATGCATCAACCGCCGTTGTCGGTGCTGCTGCGGCTGGGATGGCGGCGGCTGCTGCAACACCTTAGCCACTGCCCGCCGCCTTGACTACGTCACTGCTCTGTTCTTTGACCCTATCCGTCCTACGTCCATCAGGTGTGCTCCTGCCCTTAGCAATGACGTCTTAGAGGACAGGCACTACGGGCTCACTTTCGTGTCTGAGGCTGCTCCCCATCTCTGTTCCATGCTGCTAGTCCCTAAGGGTGAACCAGACACCCTTGACATCCCGACCCCTCGCACTTACGCTGAGGCAACCTCGGGACCCTGGGCCTCTCAATGGATAGCTGCCATGGAGCAGGAGATGGCATCTTGGAGATCCGCCGACACCTACATAGACGCAGTTCCCACACCTGGGGTGAACGTAGTTGATGGCCGGTGGCTCTTCAAGGTGAAGCGCCCCCTTGGAGAGCCGCCTGTGTTCAAGGCACGCTACATGGCTAGAAGCTTTAGTCAGCATGAGGGTGTGGACTTCTTTCAGACCATCGCCCCGACCCCAAAGATGACTACTCTTTGAGCGCTGCTACACGTAACAGCACAGCGTGACTACGAGCTACACTCCCTCGACTTCTCCACTGCTTTTCTTCAGGGCAGCCTACACGAGCAGGTCTACCTTTGCCATCCACAAGGCTTCACAGGAACCTTCCCTCCTCAGACCCAGTGGCTCCTCCGGAGCCCGGTCTACGGCATGCGAGAGGCGCCTCGCGAGTGGCACGACACTCTGCGTGCTACGCTAGTTGACCTGCAGTTCTTCTCGTCATCTGCAGACCCCTCGCTCTTCGTTCGTGCTAACCAGACCCCGTTCTACATCCTTGTCTACGTAGATGACCTGGTCTTCGCTACTACAGACAGAGACGCACTAGCCTGTGTGAAGGCTGAGCTGCTGAGGAGACACACCTGCACTGACCTAGAAGAGCTGCGACGCAACCTTGGCCTGCAGATCTTCAGGGACAGAGCAGCGCGTACCATCACTCTCACACAGTCACACTTGGTGCGCCAGGTCCTTCACAGGTTTGGTCTTCAGTTCTGCTGCCCTATATCCTCCCCTGAGTGTCTCACCGTGTGAGTGTCTCAGTTTCGTCTGCCCCAGAAGCGTTAGTGTGCCCAGTCAGGACCATTGGCCTACGTCCTCCCATCGCTAGCCCCATGCCCGATGTACTTGCTAGATAACGCAAAACCCTCTTAGCGGCTCACCAGTGCTGTGGTCGGTGTCTGCCTATGGCCACAAAGTGAGCCAGGATGCTGAGAAGGTATGTGAGATATGGACGAGTGCAACTCATCAGGTACATAAGGCAACCCACCAGCTCTGCGTAAGGACTACAGGGCTCTACTGACTCCTCAGAAACTGGAGCTAAGAGCGTGTGGTCTACTAGCAGAGGTGTGGGCTGTGCAGAGGAGAACTGAAGACCGAATCTCTGAAGGACCTGTCGCACCAAGTGTGACTGTGTAAGAGTGATGGTGCGTGCTTCTCTGTCCTTGGAGATCTGCAGGCCAAGGTTGTAGTGCAGCTCTCCTAGGTCAGTGAAGGTGTGTCTCCTCAGCAGCTTGGCCTTCACAGAGGCCAGTGCGTCTCTCTCTGCAGTAGCAAAGAGCAGATCATTTATGTAGACAAGGATGTAGAACAGAGTCTAGCCAGCACGAACGAAGAGCGAGGGGTCTGCAGACAACGGGAAGAACTGCAGGTCAGCTAGCGTAGCACGCAGAGTGTCGTGCCACTCACGGGGCACGTGTGGCAGGCCGTATACCGGGCGCCAAAGGAGCCACTGGGTCCTAGGAGGGAAGGTATCAGTGAAGCCTTGTGGATGGTGCAGGTAGACCTGCTTGTGTAGGCTACCCTGAAGAGACGCTGTGGAGAAGTCGAGGGAGTGGAGCTCGTAGTCACGCTGTGCTTTTACATGTAACATCGCCCAAAGAGTAGTCATCTTCGGGGTCGTGGCGAAGGTCTAAAAGAAGTCCACACCCTCGCACTGACTGAAGCCTCTAGCCACATAGCGCGCCTTGAACACAGACGGCTCTCCAGGAGGGCGCTTCACCTTGAAGAGCCACTGGCCATCGACAACGTTCACCCTAGGTGGGGGAACTGCGTCGATGTAGGTGACTGTGGATTTCCAAGATGCCATCTCCTGCTCCGTGGTAGCTGTCCACCGAGAGGCCCGGGGTCCCGAGGTCGCCTCAGCGTAAGTGCGAGGGGTCGGAATGTGAAAGGCGTCTGGGTCACCCTCAGGGACTAGCAGTATGGAACAGAGATGGGGAGCAGCCTCTGACAGGAAAGCAAGCTCGTACTGCCTATCCTTTAGGACGTCAATGCCAAGGGGAAGAGCACCCCCGACGGACGGAGAACGGATAGGGTTAGAGACCAGAGTGGTGGCATAGTCAAGGCGGCGGGTAGAGGCGAAGTCAGCGACAGCAGCAACAAGAGCATCAAGACTAGAGACAGGGACAGACGGGTTAGTAACAAGGGAGGCACGGACCCGAGGAACAAGAGAACGAGCGGCACGAAGGTAGTCAGACAGAGGAGGAGGCGCGACAACGAGCGACGACGGGGGAGGCGAAAGCAGGAGGGGAGGACGAGACGCGTGGGAACGAAGCAACATAGGGTGGAAACGTTGAATAGGAGAGACATGACATGAAGAGGAGGAGGGGGTGGGGGAGGCGCAAGCGAGCGGTCAGGGGAGGGAAGGCTGAGCAGGTGAAGGGCGGACACCGGCGGCGTTTGCTGCTGCTGCTTCTCTACTCCGAACCCTGGACCGCCTGCTGCACCACGACTCCACTCCAGCACCCCCAGAATGAGCACCCCTAGAGAGAGAATCCGCTCCAGCATCGGTGCCACCCCCAGGCCCGCCCGAACTTTAGGAATAGCACCCTCCTCAACGCCAGCACCCCCAGAGTCCACGGACGGGTGCTGCTGCAGCAGCGGCTGCAGCTGCTGCGGCTGCCGCGGCGACGATGGCTGCGGCTGCTGCGGCGGTGATGACTGTGGCGGCTGCTACGATGGCAAAGGAGGAGACACCGGGAGAGAGGCAGGCGGCAAGAATGGCGCTGTATGCCCACCAGAGTCAGCCGACTCTTCTATCGGGACAACCGACGGGAGGGGAGTAACGTAAGACACACCAGACATAACAGGGCGGGGAGGGAGGTGAGCAGGGGCTACTGGGGGAGTGGGAACCAGAAACAGGGGAGGGGAAACCGGGAGACATCGGTGGGGAAAGCGGTGGTAAAAGAAGACAGACTCGTCGAAAGTGGCGCTACGGGGAGTGAAAGAAGCGGTGAGACGGCGGGTGGTAAAAGCGTCAGTCAGACTAGTCAAGGGGGAAACCGAGGAAGACAGAGAGGAGAGTGCAGGCAGTGAGTTAGTCCGTGCCAGAGTTACAAACGTGAGCAAGGCAGCCCCAGACGTAGAACACAGACGCGTCACCAAGGAACCCGGTCTAAAGGAGGGTCGGCAAAACCTACTCTCCTAGGTCAGTGCAAGTGTGTCTCCTCAGCAGCTCAGCCTTTACGGAGGCCAGTGCGTCTTTGTCTGCAGTAGCAAAGACCAGGGCATCTACGTAGACAAGGATGTAGAACAGGGTCTGACCAGCACAAATGAAGAGTGAGGGGTCTGCAGAGGACGGAAAGAACTGCAAGTCAGCTAGCGTAGCACGCAGCGTATCGTGCCACTCACGGGGAGCCTGTCGCAGGCCGTAGACCGGGCACCGGAGGAGCCATTGGGTCCCAGGAGGGAAGGTACCGGTGAAGCCCTGTGGACGGCGCAGGTAGACCTGCTTGTGTAGGCTGCCTTGAAGAAAAGCAGTGGATAAGTCGAGGGAGTGAAGCTCGTAGTCACGCTGTGCTGCTACGTGTAGCAGCACCCAAAGTCTAGTCATCTTCGGGGTCGGGGCGAAGGTCTGAAAGAAGTCCACCCCCTTACGCTGACTGAAGCCTCTACCAATGTAGTATGCCTTGAACACAGGCGGCTCTCCAGGAGGGCGCTTCACTTTGAAGAGCCACCGGCCATTGACTACGTTCACCTCAGGTGGGGGAACTGCGTCGACGTAGGTGCCGGTGGATCTCCAAGATGCCATCTCCTGCTCCATGGTGTTGTGTGATGTCATCATATGTTATCACATTCTGTCTGCCTCCCATCCCTTGTTTCAATTCGCACGTATGGTTTGACTGTGTGTGAAAGAATTTGTGTGGTGTGTTCTGGAGTTTGGGAATGTGTTTTGTGTTATTCTGTCTGAGCAGGTATTTGTGATAATAGATCTTGAGAAGATCTTTCCGACGCAACAAGAATCGCTTCAATCGGAGCAAGAACGCGAAAGCTATGAAGATTCAAAGTTCATGAGCTTGCGTTACAATTGCGGCGGTTACTAAGTGAAGTTGTGGGGTGACTTTATATGGAGTTGGGACCTTTGGGGTTGGGGAAATTCGTCACTCTACTGTAACAGCTGCAAATTGGTTGGGAACAACCAAGCTAGGTTGGCAAGGGTGGCCAACTTGGATGGATTGGTTGGGAAGGGACAAATGTCAAAGTTGGGGTTCCTATAGGGAGGGAATCTTTGTGCTTATGGGGTTTCCTTGGTTGGGGACTCTCTTGGGACCTTCCCTCTCATCCCTCTCTTCTATCCCAACCTTTCTCTTGCTCCTTCTAATTCCTTGTGAGATTCTTGAACTTTGATTGAACTCTTGAGATTGAGTTAAGTTCTCCTCCTACAGCTTACCCCCTAGTGCGTCGAAAGCCATAGCGTCGCGAATACTTCATCAATCAACGTGATTCAAATTGGGAACGGTAGCTGAGATCAAGAGCTACAACATATCCAAGTTTCGCGACATTCCAACGGCTAGTGTTTTGTCGACGTCGTTTCTTGTGAAGACGACTTTTCTGTCCAGAATTTCGGATTTATATTTTGAGTAATTCTAGCTCCTAAGTTCACCTAGACTCTGTCCTTAATCCTAACAAGTGGTATCAGAGCAATATTAAGGACATTGAGAGGAGTCTACAGAAGTTTGAAGACCCTTCTAGACCCACCATGGCCTGTGGGTGTGCCTAAGTGGTGTTCTAAAGGTTGGATGTGTCTTCCGCTAAGGGGAAACTCTGCCGAAATTTCGTGGACGCCGACACTTGTGAAAATATCGAGGGAGCTGAGTGTGGACAGCAAAGGGGAGCTGAAATTCGTCATTTCTCAAGGAGAAGATGAATGAGAGAGGAGGAGATGCTAATGGAAGAGGAGCTGTAGCTGAGAAGACAAGTGAGCCGCCGCCATCAAAAGTTGAAGCTTTGGATGGCTCCAACTATGAGGAATGGAGCGGACGGATGAGGAGTGCCTTCAAACGCTACAAGCTACTGAAGATTGCTGTTGGGGAAGAGAAGATGCCGGAAGAAGGCGAAGCACGTGAACGGTGGATTGAGAAAAGCACGGTGCTTTTCGACCTCATCCTTCAATCGGTCAACAAGGAGATGTTCGAGCACATCAAGGATCTTGTGGAAGCGGATGATTCGGGTCCAAGGGCGTGGAAACTACTACGCGATGTGATTCAGCCCAACACTCTCCTGATGGTGATCGTGCTCGAGAAGGAACTTGCTGCCATCTCCATGCGACCAGGGGACGATGTGAAGCCGGTCCTTGACAAGATCAAGGACACCTATGCAAGGATGGCAGCAGCGGGCAGCAGTGTATCTCAGCTGCAGCAGTGCACCAAGATCATCTCGGTGTTGGACAACTCTTGGGACAACCTCATCCCCACCCTCAACTCTCAACAAGATCAATGGACACCTGAGTGGCTAAGGCAGCAGATTCTGCAGGAGGACTTCCGCAGACGCCATGTGGGAGGCGGTGCTGCCACTAAGACTGCTGAGGGGTATGGAGCTGCAGGGCGCGGCAGAGGAAGAGGGGGTTGGAAAGGCCGAGGCCGTGGGAGGAGCTTTGGCAGAGGTAGAGGCCGAGGTGACTATAATGAGGGGCATGGGAGCTCTAGTGGCAGGGGGAGTACCAGAATGGAGGGCACCTGCTGGTACTGCAAGAAGGTCGGGCATCCTTGGTTCAAGTGCTTCAGCAGGCTGGAGGGATGGTCACCTCCAGGCATGAAGCCGCCAAGTGGTGAACGCGCACAAGGTGGCGCTGTGCAAGGCTCAGGTGCACAAGGTGAAGGTGCACAAGGTAACGCCTATCCTGGGATGTATCTCATGGTTGAGGATGTGCATGGGCATGAGGGTGATGTGGGATCTGTGGGAAAGGTTGTGATGCACCCTCTCACGCACTGGGTGATTGATTCAGGTTGCACCAGTCACATGACCCCACGGGCAGATTTGCTTGATGAGGTAAAACCCCCTGGGAAGATCAAGTATGTGGCAGCAGCGTCAGGTGCTTTGCTCCCTGTCATTGGTGTTGGGAATGCCAAGGTTAAGGGAGCTAATGGGGAGCTTGTGGGGCTTGGGAATGTTCTGCTGGTTAAAGGCTTGTCTGCTAACCTTCTCTCTGTGCGGCGGCTGCAGAAGAGTAAGGCCGAAGTGACCTTTGGACCAACCAGCTGCCGTGCTAAGCTTGGGAAGAAGGTGCTGTGGAGTCTGGAAGAGGAGACCAGCTGCATCAAGGACCTGTGGCAGCTGCCCATCATCCCTTGGAATGGGAAGACTCCAACAGCAGCAACGGCAGCAGTGGCAAAGGCAACAGCAGGAGGAGATGCAACTGCACCAACTGATGGGGTCCTGGAAGCAGTCAAGAAAGTGCAGAAGCAGCAGACACATGGTGAGGTGCTTGCTGGTGTGGATGCGAGTGCGGCATGGGCTAAGGCTTCATCAAGGAGTGGAGAGGCCGATTGGGAGACATGGCATGAGAGGTTGTGTCATGTGAACTTCCCTATGCTGCAGAAGTTGGTGAAGAATGGGAGCCTGAAGGGCTTGGAGGTGAAAGGGGAAGTGAAGGAGATTGGGAGCTGCCCTACATGCTTGGAGACCAAGTTCTCCAAGTTCCCCTTCAACAGTGCAACAGGACCAGCCAAGACCCCACTTGCACTTGTGCACATGGATGTGGTGGGGCCCACAAGAGCCCCTTCCCTCTCAGGCAGCCGCTATTTCTTGACAATTGTGGATGACCACACTTGGGCAGTGTGGGTTTACCCTTTGAACAGCAAGGGGGAGGTGGCAGCGGCTGTCCTTAAGGAGTGGATGCCTAGAGCTCAGAGGGAATGCGGACACAAGGTGAAGGTGATCCGCAGTGACAATGGTGGGGAGTTCATTGGAGCTGATTTTGAGGGGGAGTTGAAGAGGAAGGGGATCCAGCATCAACTGACAGTGCCCTACAATCCGCAGCAGAATGGCGTGGCTGAGAGGTTCAACAGGACCCTGCAGGAGGGGGCACGCACTCTCCTTGGGCGTGCAGGGCTACCTGATCCGTTTTGGGTGTCTGCACTGAGGCAGGTCGCCCTTGTGAAGAACAGGGTGCTGGCTACAGTTGGAGATAAGGAGTGGATCCCATATATCAAGTGGTATGGGAGTGCTCCAGCTGTGAACATGCTGAGGGCATTTGGGTGCATGGTAGTGTTTCATGTGCCTAAGGAGAAAAGAGGGAAGTTGGAGGCTTCTGGAAGATGGGGTGTGCACTTGGGGATTGCAAAGGATCACAAGGGATGGCTGCTATGGGACTTGACCACCCAGAAGCTGACAGTGTCAAGGGATGTGAAGTTTCTTGAGTCCCTGTACTACAAGGAATGGAAGCAGCAGCAACAGAAGCTTCCATCTACACCGCTCATTGTGGAGGCAGATGAGGTGCAGCAGCCTTCAAGACAGGTGGAGGTTGCAGTGTCAGAGGAGGAGATGTCTGGGGTGACTGAGGAAGGGGGAGCAGCTGAAGTAGAGCAGCAGCAGCAGCAGCAGCATGAGTCTCCACCTCGAGTTCCACACCCGCCTGAGCGTCCTAGGAGGGATGTGCGCCCTCCAGTGAGGCTGACCTATGGGGGAAGAGGCAAGCCGAATGTGGTGCAGGCTGGGAGTGTGGTTGAGCAGATTGAGGAAGATGAGATCGCTCACTGCTACTGGGCACCAATCCCTGAGCCCAAGACTCGAGAAGAGGCCTTGAATGGACCAAATGGGGAGAAGTGGAAGGCGAGTGAGGATGAGGAGTTCGGGTCCCTAATTGAGAACGAGACATGGGACCTGTGTGACTTGCCTCCTGGAAAGAAGGCAATCACTTCCAAGATGATCTACAGGCACAAGTATGGACCTGAAGGGGAGCTGACCCGCTACAAGTCTAGGCTTGTGGCACGGGGGTTTCAGCAGACAAAGGGGAAGGACTATGATGAGGTGTTTGCTCCTGTGGGGAAAGGAACAACACTGAGGGTGCTGTTGGCGATAGCTGCACTCCTGGGATGGAAGATACGGCAGATGGACATTGTGACTGCTTTTCTGAATGGGATCATTATGGAGGAGGTGTACATGAAGCAGCCAGAGGGGCTGGATGACGGGAGCGGCAGGGTCTGCAGGCTGAAGAAGGCCATCTATGGCCTTAAGCAGGCGCCTCGTGCATGGTATCACAAGTTGGAGGAGGCGCTGTTGGCTGGGGGTTTCAAGAAGAGTGAGTGTGACCCCAGCCTGTTCCTGCTGCAGGAGAAGGATGAAATCCTCATGCTCTTGGTGTATGTGGATGATATCCTTCTCTTTTCTGCATCCACTGCTTTGCTGGACAGCGCAGAGCAGATGCTGGAGATGCAGTTCAAGTGCTCCAAGATGGGTGAGGTGAAGTACTACTTGGGGATGCACGTGGAGAGAGATGTGGAAAAGGGTGTGCTGAGGTTGCACCAGAGGAAGTACTGTGAGGGGCTGGCTGAGAAGTATGGGCTGCAAGATGGGGGAAAGCCAGCAACACCACTACCTTCAGGGTTTACTGTGGAGCCATGTGCTGATGAGGAGGTAGTGGGTGAGAGTGACAGGAAGCTGTTTCATTCGATGGTTGGGTCGCTGAATTATGCTGCAAATCATACACGGCCTGACATTGCATTTTCTACATCACGGTTGGCTAGTGTGGTCTCACGCCCTAGTCATGAGCAGCTGGAAGCGGCCAAGAGGTTGGTCCGCTATGTGAGTGCTACGGCATCAGTGGGATTGGAGTACAGTGGAGTGAGGCAGCGGTTGCAGAGAGGTGCTGCAGATGTGAAGAGTGGAGAGATGCTCTTGAGTTGCTATACTGACGCTAGCTTCAACTCAGTGAAAGCGGATGGCACCAGCATTGGGGGTTATGTGTGCTTGCTAGGAGGTGGTGCTGTGAGCTGGCGCAGCAAGAAGCAGAATGAGGTGGGATTGTCCTCATGTGAGACTGAGTACATGGCCTTACACCATGGGGCCAAGGAAGTAGTGTGGCTAAGGCGTTTGTTGGAGGAGTTGGGAGTTGGTCAGGAGGAGCCGACAGTTGTGTTCTGTGACAATGAGTCTGCTGTGAAGCTCGCCAAGAATGCTTGTCTGCATGGGCTGACAAAACACATAAGGCCTAAGTGGCACTGGGTGAGGAGACTCCTTGATAAGGAGGTGCGGCTGGAGATAGTGAAGACCCATCAGCAGGCAGCAGATATTTTCACTAAGCGTCTGGCGGAGGCGGATCATTGGAAGGGCATGAAGCTTGCTGGGATGAGTGTGCATTGAGTATGCATGCTTGAGATGTGGTATGGTCGATGATGGTTGGCAGCCAGAGGGGGAGATTGTTGTGTGATGTCATCATATGTTATCACATTCTGTCTGCCTCCCATCCCTTGTTTCAATTCGCACGTATGGTTTGACTGTGTGTGAAAGAATTTGTGTGGTGTGTTCTGGAGTTTGGGAATGTGTTTTGTGTTATTCTGTCTGAGCAGGTATTTGTGATAATAGATCTTGAGAAGATCTTTCCGACGCAACAAGAATCGCTTCAATCGGAGCAAGAACGCGAAAGCTATGAAGATTCAAAGTTCATGAGCTTGCGTTACAATTGCGGCGGTTACTAAGTGAAGTTGTGGGGTGACTTTATATGGAGTTGGGACCTTTGGGGTTGGGGAAATTCGTCACTCTACTGTAACAGCTGCAAATTGGTTGGGAACAACCAAGCTAGGTTGGCAAGGGTGGCCAACTTGGATGGATTGGTTGGGAAGGGACAAATGTCAAAGTTGGGGTTCCTATAGGGAGGGAATCTTTGTGCTTATGGGGTTTCCTTGGTTGGGGACTCTCTTGGGACCTTCCCTCTCATCCCTCTCTTCTATCCCAACCTTTCTCTTGCTCCTTCTAATTCCTTGTGAGATTCTTGAACTTTGATTGAACTCTTGAGATTGAGTTAAGTTCTCCTCCTACAGCTTACCCCCTAGTGCGTCGAAAGCCATAGCGTCGCGAATACTTCATCAATCAACGTGATTCAAATTGGGAACGGTAGCTGAGATCAAGAGCTACAACATATCCAAGTTTCGCGACATTCCAACGGCTAGTGTTTTGTCGACGTCGTTTCTTGTGAAGACGACTTTTCTGTCCAGAATTTCGGATTTATATTTTGAGTAATTCTAGCTCCTAAGTTCACCTAGACTCTGTCCTTAATCCTAACACATGGCAGCTATCCACTGAGAGGCCTGATGGAAATCGTGCAAATCTGGAGAGAACTATTTAGAGATTAAGTTTGACGACTTCAACGGAACATTGCGTGCAGCTCAGGTAACTTCTACAAATGAGCTTATACGCGTTGGAAAGGTCTTAATCTCTCATTTCCAGAATGGTAAAGCACAATCATAACCAAGATCTGAGCCGCCGATTATGACGGAATCAGTGTGAGGGAACATTCTGGTAATTTGGCTAGGCAGCCATGAATCACCTAGTAAAAACGAGAAGGGAAGCAGTTAGATCTGGAAAAGTTCGAGTATGTGATTGTCAAAGACCACCAACCCTCGCCCTAGACCAAACGTCAAGAATCCCAAGTGCCACATCTGCAACATCAAAGATGTTGTAGTGGGTTTGAGGTTGTATGGGTTGGAAAGGTAAGGAGATCAAACCGTGCCAACCAACCCAAGTTCTTTTGCCCAAATCCTAATAGCCCACAACCAGCTAGAGCAAACTACACCACAGAACACTACACATTTATCACTCCCCCTTGCTTGTGCTGGGTGTGGCTCAACACCATTGGGCAAAACACTTCACACAACTCCCCCTTGCCCATGGGTTGGGGCCACCCAGAGCATGGAGTCCGCCAAGGAGAGGAGCACCAAGATGCCGGCATCTGCTTCGGGAACCCTGTCATCATGGGGCTGCATCCCGAGCAAGGTCATGCACACACCATGGCGCTCAAATGGAAGAGACTTGGTAAGAATATCAGCAGCCTGACGGTTGGTGGGGCACCACTGCAAAATCACCTCTCCCGCAGCCACCATCTCCCGAATGAAATGCCACCGGACCTGCATGTGTTTGGTGCGGCCATGCAAGCATGCATTCTGTGCAAGGGCAATGGCAGACTGATTGTCCACAAACACAGGCACACCTCCCGCATGATCATGGCCAAACTCCCCAAACAAACGCCTCAGCCACACACCCTCCTGAATGCACTGACACAGACTTATGTACTCACTCTCAGTGGTAGAGAGTGCTACCACGGGCTGCCTCTTGCTCTGCCAAGAGATAGCTGCCCCATTCAGACAGAACACATACCCACTGTGGTTCCTGCGACTTGCGGAATATCCAGCATAGTCAGCATCACTGAAGCCAACTAGCTGGACCTGAGACTGGGGTTGTGTTTGGAAGAAGATACCTGACTTGACACCACCTTTCAGGTACCTCAGCACTCTCTTAGCGGCCTGCAAGTGGAACATTTTAGGACAAGAGGCGACCTTAGATAGCTGTGAGACTGCAAAGGCAATCTGTGGCTGTGTGGTAGTACAAGCATACATGAGGGATCCCACAATGCTTTGGTAGAGCTTGACTAGCTCATCTCGCAGCAAGGGTTCATCCTCATAGGCATGCACATCAAAGCCTGTTGGGAGAGGAGTACGCACAGGGTTGGCCTCTGAGAGACCAAAGGACTGAAGCATGTTAAGAATGTACCTCTCTTGATGAATCAAGATACCACTCTCATCACGCTCAATTTGCATACCCAAGTAGTACTTCACCTCCCCCAAGTCCTTCATGCGAAAACGCGATGACAAGAAGTCTTTCACTCGATCTAGCAAAGCCTTGCTAGAGCATAGGAGCAAAAGGTCATCTACATAGAGGAATAAGGAGATCCTCTCCTCATCTCTCACAAAGTGGTACAAGGCAGGGTCACACTCAGATCTCTCAAACCCAAAATCCATGAGAGCCTCATCAAATTTCAGGTACCACTGTCGTGGGGCTTGCTTTAGCCCATAAATGGACTTTTTGAGGCAACACACGCGGTTAGACCCATCATCAAAACCAGGGGGCTGCCGCATGTAAAGCTCTTCCTCCAAATCCCCATGGAGGAAGGCTGTCTTGACGTCCATATGATGGATATCAAGCCCCAAAGCAGCCGAAATTCCAAGCATACCTCTCAAGGTCGCATGCTTCCCAACTGGAGAGTACACTTCTTCATAGTGTACTCCCAGTTTCTGCATGTTTCCCATCACCACCAATCTGGACTTAGGCCTCTCAACGGTACCATCAGGGCTATGTTTGTATTTCCAAACCCATTGACACCTGAGGACCTCCAAACCAGGTGGTACCACTACTGGATCAACCAGCTCAAATGATCCATTTACCTTGTGAGACTCAAGCTCCTCATGCATGGACTCAACCCATTCGGGACGGTTCAGCGCCTCGTGGACTGACCTAGGCTCATGCACCTGACCCATTAGACACACATCAGGAGCATACTCATGTCCATGCATGTCCACAAGCATGCAATCATCCAAATCAGACACAAGATGATCGTGCATGCGTGCAATGTGCCCCGGTGAAAACCTTTCAGGTGGCTGGAAAATTCGAGCACTGCGTCGCAGAGGTGTTGCCTCTCCTTCTTCCAGCCTCCGCAGCTTCTCCTCCCAAGTCACCCTCTTCATTGGAGTCCTTGGAGTCTTGGACAGCTGCTGGTTCAACAACTGCTGCCAACTGCTTCTCGATGGAGTTGAAGGCACATGCTGCTCCGGCTGATCATCACGCGCATCGGCCTGCGTGGCTGGCTGAGGGGTAGAATCTGTCTCTCGGGACTCCTCATGGTTAGGATCAGCTGGTTCTGGCTCCTCCTGCTGCTCCTCCCCTTCATCTCCAGGGTCCTCCCATGCCCCCTCAAAGATAGAGGCCGTATGAGGGTCTTGAATGGAAGTCCCACTTTGGCTTGTACCATGCGCCTTCCACCCCTTAAAATGCAGCCCCTCATGGAAAACCACATCACGGCTCTCCAACACATGCTGGTCAGCTACACTCCACAGCACCCAAGCCTTGCTCCTCTCAGAAACCCCAAGGAGAATCCCCCACTGTGCCTTAGGATCTAGCTTCCTCCTTTGCTGGTCAGGTACCTTATACTGTGCCATGCACCCCCACACTCGTGCCATGGAAACATTTGGCACCTTCCTTGTCCATAAGGAGTATGGGCTCTTGCCTCCAAGCCCCTTGCTGCCCATCCTGTTCTTCACCCAGTTGGCATACTGCACTGCTGCCCCCCACCAAGTGTTATCAAGCTCGGCATGGGCAAGGATGGCCCGAGCCAAATCGGTCAAGGTCCTGTTAAGCCGCTCCGCTGCCCCATTTTGCTGCGGCATGTAAGGTACAGAGAGCTGGTGGGAAATACCCTTTTCTTCCAAGAAGATTTGAAGTTCTTTCCCAAGGTACTCTCCACCCCGATCTGACCTTAACACCTTCACCTTGGCCCCTGACTCCCTCTCCACATAGCGTATCCACCGCTTAAACACCTTTGCCACCTCATCCTTGGTCTTCACCAAGATGACCCAGCTAAGTCGACTGAAGTCATCAAGAAAGGTGACAAAGTATCTGCTGCCCTTTTCCCGGTCAGGAGTTTGCATCGGTCCACACACATCCGTGTGCACCAGCTCAAGGGGAGTCAAGGCATGATCAGAGGAGATAGGGAATGAGGTTCTAGGCAGCTTTCCCAATGTGCAATCAGGACATTTTCTCTGCTGCCCAGCTCCTTCCTTGACCTCCACCCCCTTCAGCTCCCCCTTCTTCACACACTCCAGCAGTTGCTGCTTCCCCGCGTGCCCCATGCAAAGGTGTAGCAACTCAGGTGACACCGTTTCCACTTGTCTCCAGTGAGTGCTACAAGTGGCTTCCTCAGAAAAAACCATATGTGCCTTGTAACAATTAGGCACACAAGCTGGAACAAGGTATAAACCCTTGTCCAGCTTTGCCTCCATCTCCACAGCTTCACCCTTTCTAACAGTGCACCCTCCCTCAGTGAAAGTGCAGATGTATCCCTGTTTAGCCAGCTGCGAGCATGAAAGGAGGTTTGCAGCCAAACCAGGGACGTGAAGGACCCCCTTCACACCCACTAGCTCCCCCTCCTTCCCCTTAATGGCGATCGTGCCGATGCCAATTGCCTGCAGCAAATCTCCGCTCCCAACAATCACGCTCCTAGAGTTTGGTGGGAGAGGATGGTAGGAGGTGAAGAGATCACGGCGAGGAAGCATCCCATATGTTGCTCCAGAGTCTAGAACAAGGAAGTTGGGATCAGCCAATGCACGACCAGCGAGAGCTGCATCCTGCCCTAGCATGAGAAATGAGAAACCATCATCGGAGGAGTCGTCTTGGCCCTTCCCCTTCTCATCCTTAGCAGCTGCGGCCGTTGCTCCCTTGCTGCCCTTCTTATTCCAGAGCCCCTTCTTCATCCTTTTCTCCACCCAATCAGGTTTGGTCACTGGTGGGGCCTCTCCAGAGTAGCCATGAGGCTTCCATCCCTCAGGCCTACTCCAGCAACTCTTCCAAGAGTGTTTTTTGTTGCATCCGGGCACAAGGCATTTGTCCAACTCTTTCTTCTTCCCCCCACCTCCTTGCTGTTGATAGCATTTCCTGAAGGAAGCTTTATCTGCTGCACCCATGCCTCCTTCTAGGCCTCTTCCAGCATCAACCTTGCGAGCCTCATCAGAAATTAGAACCTCCCAAATCCACACCTTGGTCCATTTCTGTTGCTCGAGGTGAAGGTACTGCAGTAATGCCTCATTAGCCGCTTGATCCAACCCTTGGAGCGCAGTATAGATGATCTCCTTCTCATCTACCGTGTAATCCAGCTCCTCCAAAGCCCTCACATTCACATCCACCCTCTGGAGATACTGAACCATGGTCTCCCCCTCCCCATAGTTCCGCTCCATGGTGTAAAACCGCTTCCGCCAAGTAAGCACG